GCTAATAGAAAATTGATATTAATCATATTGTAGTGAGCCCTTTCTGTCGAATTAGTTTTTTGTTAACTAATATTCCATCCCCATATCAGCAAATAATTCGCTACTTGGTTCCTTAGAATAGTTGCATAGATAATCCTCCCAATTAGCATACCCTAATTATTTTTGTAAGAAATCCTTGGTTTTTTTGTTTGCATATAATCATCAAGAATTTCTCATTGGAGTAAACAGGTTTTTATTTTTGCCTCTAAATATAATCATTTTAGATTATTTAAGATAACACTTTTACTTTTTTCAAATGATACAATAACACTTTTTCTACCTAAGGGTGTAAGGAAAAAATAAAATAAAATCTAATGATGGATACTTCCCACTTTTTGAATTACCAACGGGGAACATCCTCCTTATTTTTGGTAAAATATTTGCCTTACATTTGATGTATCAACTGGAAACTTTGGCCATTCTTCTAAATTTGGGATAGCCCCCATCCTTTCATTTCGATGGTCAGAGTAAGATGGAATACTATGACCTTTTCGTCTTCTGATACTACATGGGCCCAAGACACCATTTTGATTTGCCACAATTTCCTCCTTGGTCTCAAGGTTAGCTTCAGTGGGTGCAATTTTTTGTCATCATTTGAAACAATTTCTTCTTTTTTAGCATCCTCAAGCCTTTGTGCACCAAGCTTTTTGACATCCTTTTGTCGAGGTTTCCACCAAATGTAGTTTCATACCCAATAGCTTCTCCTGAAATTTCATACAATGTGGGGCACGCGTGTCCATGCTGGATAGCTAGATATGATTCAGATGTGGCGTCGAAATTTCCCCCAAATACACAGTAAAACCATCGTTTTATGGATCGCTTCATTTGATAGGCAATCCCTTCCAAGATTTCTATCCTAAGATCTCGGAAAGGGATCTTCCAGGTATCAAGTTTTTTTTGGAATTTAGGATCTCGCTTTGAACAAGTTCCATTAATCTTGTGTTTGAGTTCCCAGCTTCTTTGGGATCTAGTTTCTAAATGATAGGGATCTCAGTCACAAGAGTTATGGGATCCAGATTCTATTATACTGTAACACAAGGATCATAGTAAACTGCATCTAGATTCCAATATGGGATCGTAGTTCTAATAGCATGCAATCCATTGTATCCTACAAGTGATACTGAGGCCCTATCAAGTAGGGATTAAGCTACCATTAAATTGGAATCAAGTACCAACAGCCAACATTTTACAAACTAAATTTCAAATATATATACATAGAACATGCAATCTCCCTCCCCCTCTCTACAAATGGCTACAAGCGCCTGCAACAATGGATGGGTATGGCTACATTGTTTGAGACTTTTGAGTATGGAAGTGAGGATGGTGGCTAAGATACCGAAGCCATGGCAGCAAAGCCAGAACTTTACAACCTCAAAGCCAGAATACCCCTCTCATTCTCTCTCTAGGTGACACCACTGTAAGCAAGACCCCAAAGAAAAGATCCCTCTCTCTCTCTCTCTCTCCCTTCCCCCCCCCCCACACCCAACCCACCCAAAAAAAAAAACCAAAAAAAAAAAATTAAAAAAAAAACTCAGCATGTGCCAGAGCACATGATATGAACCTTAGCAAGTTGCAAATGAAAACATAGGATGGAGGCACAAGTTTAGGAACATAAAATACTGTGGCATAGTTATAGTCTCCCCTTTCAGTTTTGTCATTCTATATCTGTATTCACATTCAGATTCATTAATAGGCAACATTGCCAATAATGTCATTCTTCTTGCAATATGGATCAATGCATATGATATAAAGGCAACAATTTCTGAAGCCTATGCCTAGTCTGCGGGCATATAGAAACCACGGAAGGTTTATAGAAACCCCAACTTGGATGGACTTTCTAAGGATTGAGAATTGTTCGCATCCATAATATTGTAGTGGGTGGAATATTTTTCACAAAAGAAAACAGATCTTCATATAAACAAGTTCTCTATGTCTTGCTACTTATGAATTATATAGGGCATCACTATAAAATCAATTGCAAAACTATAATCACAGGACCGTGACCTCCCATGGATCTACCATTATAAATGGAGAACTTTGACAAGCAAGCTCACACATCTGGATCCTATGCTCGGCAGATATTTAGCCCTAAAAAGGACAGCCAGTTAGAATACTTCTAATTTTATGGAAACAAGAAAGCAAACAAAGGATTGCCTCCTAAAGTCATTTTCTATTTATTGGTAACTCTTTCTAGAAACATAAGATGCGTTCTTTGACTTTAGAGGCAAGATTCACAGACAGAACGAACCGTTTGCAAATAAATTAAGAAATGGCGATATGCAGTCACAATGCATCATATGTATGGTAGAAACTCAGAGCACGAGATCATGACCCGAGGCCACCATGAAATTTCCCCTATGACTTATTAGTAAAGACCTCATGTCAGATAATACTTATTTTTCCTTCTTTTAACATCAGATCACATATTTGAATTCTTTGCATATAAAAAGGACACAACTAAAGTACTCGAGATTCCATAGATAAAGAAATGATAAAACAAGTGAAGTATGGGTCGGAGGACAGATAAATGATGGCATTGTAAGCATAAATAAACAAGATGGTAAACCCCATTTCTAACAATTTGGCAGATTGGATGCTCCACTTTTCCAATATAAAATCACCTAGCTAGGGATTTTCTAAAAGATTCAGCTTTACACAAGAAAAATAAGATATGTAGAGCTGTTGTGACTAAAACATGCTTCAACATTTCTATTTAAAAAATAATCACTACTTTACAGTAATACAAAAACCAACCTACCTTCCAAACATGGATATATACCAATGATTTGTTGAAAGTTACTCTCAATTAATTTCCGAATTGCCAGTCAGTTTAGCTGCGTTACTACCATTTCAACCTTCCATTATTCATGAGTAACTCATTTCAAAATCTACAACATGACATAGAGTTATAGTTTGCTTATGTTAAATCTACTAGGCAGTAGGCAGTTGAATATTTTAAATCTAAGGCTGCCCTGCAATGGCAAAAAGCCAGTACTATTGATCTTGCTTTATTGTCACTTCATAGTTTCCTCCTTTCTAATTTCTTATTGTCTGAAAATATAGTGTAAAATTTGGAAGAAAAAAAAGTATAACACGATGCCTCATTTTTTTCATTTATTGCCCCACCTCAGCGAAAATGTAATTACTTTGGCCCAATTTTTTAAAGTCTTGGGTTAACTGCACAGGAGGTTTAGGAAGCATTTTACATCTTGGATGAAAAAACTTTATATTGCATTGGATTTTGGTTGTTTCAACCAAGGTTGCACCTTTCATGAACTCCTCTCTGCAAAACTTCCATCAAACCAAGACTTCCATCAAACTATCTTGTCTAGTTTCCACTACTGCCCGGATTTTGACCCCATTCCTGTAGATCCCCACCTGCTTCAGCTTGTTGATATCTTCAGAAAACATCACCCAAACGAAAAGCATGGGATAATGTCGGATTGTATTTCAGATATTTTATGCCTTCTAAGCATGGAATATTGCCCTTGCCATTTTCACTGGTGATAAAGATTCTTCCTTTCTTAAGCTTTACAACTTGGGACCTGATTGTGTATCTCTTACAAAGAATATTTATGAGGATTACATGATGCATGCAAGGCCATATTGAAAATTTCTGAAACTTACATTGCTTTGAAACAATACTTGCTTTTCACAGCCATTCACATAAAATTAAGATATTTAAGGAAACACCTTTTTCTGGTACACAACATTGACAGGTGACATGTAACCACCAATAACCACATAGCCCAAAAAAATCAGGGCAACTCTTGCCAATTCTGTGGGAAAAAAGTTATGTTAAAACAATAATGAAATAAACATTACCTAATAATATTCAATTATATTAAGGAAACGAAATCAGGATATTTTCAAACAATAGAAAATTTAAAATAACGAATGTTGTAAATCCAAAACAAACATAAAAAGTCAAGTTTGATGCCATATCGATCTTCTCTTATCAAATCGGTGTCAATGAATTTGTTGCCTCCATTGGTAATTATCTAATCTAATCCAGCAAATAAATAACTAAAATAAATAAACAAAAAATTGGGAGGGAGTACAGGAGAAGTAGTAGAGGAGTGAAAGAGGAGGGAGTATAAACATAGATGCGGATGCCTGCAAGGTGAGCAGAATTATGGGACTCTAGAGGTGATTGACACAGTCCTTTGCCATGGGAACCCTCCTTAACCAGGGGAACCCAGAGAATAAGGCAACCCAATGCAAACAATGATGGCCGGAGCTGAAAGGGCTTCTCAGGACTATCATGCCCTGCTCTGATCTTGATTAACCAATCCATGATGGACAGATAGTATGGTAGCCTCTTAGTTCACAGGTCCAAGAATTTTGAAATTGCAAAAGGCAACATTATAACGACTGTTTACAACAGCAACAGTTAAAAGCCATTATAAAACATGTTAATTCTAAATACTGGCACTACAACCATTACATTGGCATTTAACCATGACATCAGATGGCCATTATAGAGATGTAATGCCGTTTCTTCAACCTTGATCAGGTCATGGATCCTACGAGAGAACCACATATTGACCCCTGCCTCTGCAGTGGCAGCACTTGGACATGATACTTAGCAGGTCTCTCACAGTGCTCACCCAGAACAGGATTCAGATAATGAAGGTAAACAAAGGGAAATTCAAGGGTCCTTCCAACTTTTCCAAAACACTTAGGCAAGATTCCCAATGAGAAAGACTGACTGACTAAAAAATAAGGAGGATCTTGCAGAAGCATTAAAAAGATGAGTTGATATATTTTCAACTCATTTGACAGTATATTTTCAATGATGTTATTCAGAGAAGAAAATAGTAATGTCTTGTTATATTAAGAAAATCATACATTTGACACTTCTGAAAGCTCCACCTAATCTGACTAGCCTCAGTTATCAAATAAATAAATAAATATACTCAATAGGCTTCTTAATGCGCAGAAGAAAAAAAAAAGCTAACCTTCATCCGAAAGCGCTGCTAATAAATCACCAACGTCGAAAGCAATAAGTGCTCCATTTTGCGTATCTCTTGTTAGCCTTTCGCTGAAATACCATGCATATAAGAGCTGAAGCTTCTGAATATTCGAAAGAAAGAAAATGAGACTCAAACTATAAACTTACCAAACATGTCCAAGTGCATGCAAGTTGGAGGGTTGAAACTTCCAGTCGAAACCAAAACATCATAAGTTTTTGTCCTAGACTAATGAGAAGAAAGTTTGGGATTAATATCCATGCACGTACAGCTTTCCACACGTTACATGTATAATTTGATAAACATTCCACCTTGCCAAAATATTTATCATAAATTATAAATAGCATAACATTTACAATCAATGTTTTACTTCAAACAGGAGAACAGAACTGATAGAAACAAGCAAGAATCACCCCATGCAAACTTCAAGGTAAATGATAACAAGTGAACACCAAAATAGCAGAGATCAAATTTAGAACTGATTAGCATAAGGAACCACACATTAAAGATTGAACTTAGGGCTTATTCGAATGCATCCATTGTCGCCCATAGTTCACTCTTATAAAAAGAAATACTCAATCTAAAGACTTCTTTATTGTTTGGCAGCATGTTTTACATATTTATTTGCGATAGAAATTTTTTTTTTTCTTTTCTATCTTTATTGTTTGGTAGCATATCTTACATATTTATTTGCGATAGAAACTTTGTTTTTTTTTTTTTGTTCTTTTCTATTAACTCAACATCTTCAAAAAGTAGTTTGGGTGATAGATGAAGATACGCACTTGCCACATCAAGAACCCAAGCCGGAACCCTCCCCGGCTTGGCACAGACGGATATCCTTTAGTGGGCGACTCAGATGGAGAATGAAGAAACGTTTAGAAAAAGGAGGGATTTTATTCTGCTGGCAGCCTGGCACCAATCTAGTTCATTTCTGAGAAACCACCACCTAGAGCGCTTTCATGATCCAATAAAGCCCTCACCTGCACTGAATACCCAATCAACAAACCTTTGATGCTTCATGTTGGATCCTTCCCTTCCTCTACATCCAAACCGTAATTCCACTCTGCACAATCCCCAAGTGCCTTAATCGCCATTTCCAAATTCTCCGTCACACAAATCTCCTGTGATTGTAGCTCTCCAACCGTTTAATCTCCAATCACATGGTATAAGAAAACCACTTCCATGGCCAAAAGCACTTTTTACTTAGAATCAAAAGCAGTTTTGAGTGAAGAGCAGATGACGGTCATTGTTAAACCAAGGCTAGTTGGGTGAAACCATAGGTGGGTTTAGGATAAGGGGGGAAGAAGGCAAGAACGAGAAGAGGAAAAGAGGCCCATCAAACTTGAATCAGGGCCATTGGAAGCAATAGACAACAAATTCATTGGATTTCTCAATTTTTTTGAGATCAAAAAATTCAAGAGGTTTGAGAAATCATCTCAAACCTAGCCTTTTCAAACTTGGTGGAATCTTAAACTTAACTTTTTGAACCTCTTTTATCTAGATACTCGAGAGCACGATTCTAGGTTGCAGTAGTCCCTTTTTCTTCGAAAGAATTTGCCTTCGAATTCGGTGACTCGTCGAAGGAGGTATCACCACGATTTGAAATGAGATACTTGACATTAAAACATCGGAAGACGAGGAAGTAGTTAAGATTGATGGTCAGGAAATACTAAAAAGAGCGTATTTTAGATACCTTGGGTTGATAATCAAAAAACTGAGACATTGAGGACAATATCGTATATAGAATTAAAGTAGGGTGGGCGAAGTGGAGATATGCAACCGGAATTTTATGTGATCGTTGCATACCGTTGATGCTAAAGGGCAAGTTCTATAGGACAATTATGAGACTAGCTTTGCTCTATGGGATGGAATGTTGGGCGGTCAAAAAATAATACACCCAATTACCTATAGAATGAGTGCAGCGGAGTTGAGGATGATGAGATGGATGAGTAACAAGACAAGAGGTATAGAATTTGAAATGAATACATTCGCAAAAATTTAGATGTAGCACCAATAGGCGATAAGATGAGAGAGAGTAGACTTAGGTGGTCTGGCCATGCATAGCACCGACTCAGTACAACACCTATTATGAGCTACAAGTTAGTTCAAGTGAAATGCTCGAAAAAGGCAAGGGGTAAGCCCAAAAAGATACGGTTGGAACTAGACTAAGGATGGTGTGACCCTTAATAGAGAAAAATAGCGGACTGGATTTGGGTACTTGACCCCAATTAGTTCAAAAAAGGCTTTTACGATGATGATGAAGAAGTACGAATATGGCTATGAAGCTTCCATTTGTAAGCATTTCCATTTATCTTCCTCAAAAAAAAATAATAGTCTTACCTTGACGACACTTGAGATCAAGGCATATCATTTTACTGCATTCTCCGTAGACATTTGATTAACCATGTCTTGGGTCCATTGACAATTGCCATACTTGCAGTACATAAGCACAACACACTTGGTCCTAAACACATCGAATAATATTTTACCCTGAATTTTGAAGCAGCTCAAGATTAATGATGCATTACCCCCATAATTTCCTTCAATTTGCACATAGTGATTAAATGTAGAGGCTCTCCACTCCAAACAAACTAATGGTTGGAGCTAAACTCCAACACCATGAATCACATAAGCAACCATTCGATGGCTACCTTCTATATCGAACTCACTAGCAAAAAACTCAAAGGAAAATATCACCAAACCCTTAGAGCACACCTCATGAGACTCTCCATATTGAGATAAAACTCCACGAATAAGAACACCATCATCATTACCTCCGTCAACACCACTCTCCTCGCTACTTTCTATGGGGACTAAGAAACCCGTTACCGCCAATATTTTGGGAACAACTCCTTGAGACCCACTTTGTTCTTCATAAAAAATAGCAGCATCCACAAAATCCTCTCCAATGGTAGGATCTTCTTTTTTATCCTCTTTATAAATTGGATTACCATTAAAGTTATGATCACCTACTTCTTTTTCAATATCCAAATCTTTATCCAGGTACTTGTCAAAGACTAGTATTGAGTCCTAGTCCACAATATGCTGATCTTGAGAACTATTTGGTGAGAACAAAATTTCTCCATGGTTGTTCTCAGATAGAGTTCCATAACACCTACTAAACTCATCATCGATTTCGTGCTTGGTCGATGAAACTGTGCACTGAACTCTTGACTAGGATCACACCATGAATCTAACCTATCTGATACCAACTTGGTCACCGACTCATATACCTCAATCTCCTCCTCCTGAGATGGCACTTCCATTTGCGCCAAAGGCAGAGCTAGAGTTTCTACCAATCTCCTCATATTTGTAATCCCTCCTCGCGAACTAGTATTACATGCTTCTAAGGTTGCCGCATTTCTTCTTTTTCCTCTTCCTAGAGGCGTGGTTGTTGAACTAAGCCACAGAAATCAACGCTATAATATCGTGCTACCGTAACTTGCTACAGTGTAGTGTTACAATACCATCCTTACTAATAATCGTTGGATTCTGATGCCAACATGGTGCAAACCTACCAGCTTGGGCTAGGGTTTAGTAAAGAAGATGGGGACAATCCAAAACTAGAGAAAGATGTAAAAACTAGAGATAAAAGAAGAAGCACATGTTGCTCTAGGATTTGGAATAAAAGTTCATAATAAGATGCTTGAGCATTTATCTTATATAAGAAAAGCCTAAACAAGACTTAATCCTACCATCCATCTAATCTAATCATGGCCATTTATTATAAAAAAATTTAATTGAATAAAAAAACATAAAAGACTCTAAATTTTACGACTTATAACCCTAAGTAAACAAAAAGACTCAAAAAATAAATAAAAAACAGAAAAAGATAGACAAAAAGACTCAAAAAATAAATAAAAAACATAAAAAGATTGACTCAATAAGTAAGGGAGGCTTCAAAGATGTGGAGAGCTTTACCTAGGATTCTTGGGGCTAAATGCTATTCTCCACCATTCTGGTCCTTACATATCATTGGAGAGGCATGTAGATATGAGCAGCATATTTTGCAACCACTTGTGATTGAAGGGAATGCCCTTAAAGTGTTGTCAATACTCAATAGTGGGGGTTAGACAAGAGACTGGGTCCCCGTAGCACATTAGTAACCTGTTTTTCTTAAGTAAACAGACTGATTGAGAATATCTGGATCATTTTCTATAATTCATGATTGTTAGAGCAAAGAGCAATCAATTGGAGATGAATAGATCCAGCTTATCAGGTTCAGGTATTCTGGTGGGTACTGATAGGACTAAAACCTACGATCTTATAACTCCAATATTGTGACTTGCATTCTAATTGTAATAGGAAACGATTGGCGTTAAAACAAAGATACAACAAATAGAAATAAAAAGAATTCAATCTTCATTATCTCAACCAGTTTTGGCTGGTCAGATCGACCAACTTTAACTCATCTCACCGATTAAAAAAAATTGCCCTTTTTTTGTAATATATATATATGGAAAAATCTTCCCAACGTCTACAGGTGAAAATGAACAGTAATTTCGCCTACCCATATCACCGTCTAAAGTTCATCACACGGTCACGATTGTCTAATAGCGTTCATTTTTATTTTTATTTTTTTTCTACAAGTCATAATGACTTGAAATTTGGAGCATATATACATCTAAGTAAGGCGCACCTAATAAAAATATAAAAATAATAATTCGTAAAAAATATTAACCAAAATACCCCCAGAACTTTTCAGGGGTATTTTCATCATTTTTTTCATGTAAAATATTTTTTTGATATTTTTCGTAGATTCGTCTATTTTTTATAAACACACGCTCCAAATTTCAGATCATTCCGATTTGTAGAAAAAAATAAAAAATAAAACACTACTGGACAATCGTGACCGTGCGATGAACTTTGGATGGTGATGAAGGTAGGCGAAATCACTGTTCATTTTCACTTATAAACGTTTTGTAGTATCTTCATATATATATGAAAAAGCTTATGTGAGCTAATGGGCTCATAAGAAAAAATGAGTTCAATGGTTCAGATTGAATGTGGGCCGATCTAACGATCGTGAATTTTGATAAAAAAAAAAAAAACGAATATTCAAAAAATATTAAAAAAATATTTTATATGAACAAATGACCAAAATACCCCTGTAAATTTTTGGGGGTATTTTGGTCATTTTTTATTTTATAGATTTTTTTTATATATATTTTTATTAGGTGCGGCTTAATGAGAAAGACACTCACCTAAAATTTCAAGTGATTTGGAATTATAAAAAAAAACTAAAATTCAAACACTCTTGACTATCAGATTGGTTCAGATTCAATCTGGACCATTGAGCTTATACTATTATGTGAGCTAGTGGGCTCACCCTAACATCTTTTTTTTCTCTCACACTCTTTCTCTCTATATATATATATATATATATATATATTGAATGTTAGTAGTGCAGTAGTAGCTTTTTGAAACGTTAGTAGTTTTCGAAAGGGGTTAACATTGATAGGAATGGAAACAGAGCTACAGGTGGTAACCTTAACCTCAACCGTATTCCTTTATAATATAATTTATTTTATTAAACCATTTTTTTTTTTTTTTTTGAAAATATGATCCAACCGATTCGATCAACAATTCCTTAAAATCGAAAAATTGTATAAGATGCCACAGAACAAATGCATTTTTCATATGAAAAATTAAATTTGCAAAATAGAAATGACTTGTGAACATGTTTACAAAGAAACTAACAAAGGAGAAAGTATACATAGCTGTTTGTGCTATCCATAATCAGAGCATGTATAAAGAGAAATCAAAAGAAAGGGCATATACATTGTCCAGCATTGAGGGAGTAACAAATAAGATAATCAGAAATTGTCCAACAAACAAACAACAATCCAAATGAGAAGTAGCAAAAGAAAGTCTCAAATGAAGATAATTGAGGAAATATTGTACAATGTTTTGAAGAATACAGATTAGGGTGGAGGCACAACTCTGAAAATGAGGTTGCTCTTTGAAATGAGGAGGTGACATGATCCACCTTATGAAGAACCGATCGATCACCAAGCTAACTAGCATATTGGTCTAATCAAAACCAGTCCGATTGTTGGTCAAACTGATTTGATCGAATTTTTAAATATGAAAAAATATGAATACCTTAAAAGTATGTAATACATTAAAAAAAAAAAATCTTGCCCAACCAGTTGAACCAGTTGAAAGTAGTTAGTCGGATTAGCCAAAACCGTTCAAAACACAACTTTGACTAGTTTTAACCAGAGCCGGTTTTTCTTTTGGACTAGAAAGGCCAAAGGAGCGGTCCATAGTCAGACCACCACATGGATTGTCTCTCGATAAAATTTTCGTTTTGTTTCGGTTTGGTATGAAAAGTGAAGCAATGTGGTGTTTCGGTTGATATAGGGAAAGACTTCGATTTTTTAAAAAAAACATTTAAAAAATAGAAATATATTTTTATAAGTTTGTAAAAATTTAAAAATGTGGAGTGGTAGTTTTTATAAGTTTTAGTTTGATCGATATAAATGAGGTAGAGTGGTAGACAAGTGTTCTGTTTCCCTAAGTCTCCTACGTTCA